TCGTCAATATTCTTTTGGCCAAAACTTGGATACACAAATGTCACCACAGTGGTAGTTATGAAAAATGCCATAAAAAGTTTCTTAAGTTCCATTCTCTATAATTATTCTTTTAACTTTCTTGTTTTAATTATTTTTGTCTTCTATTACCAAAATATATAAGTGTGTATATATATACAGTAATTGACTGCCTTTGAGTGTTTTGCTGGTGATAATTTTAATTAATAAAAGTAAGCTTTTCAGTTGTTTTACACACCATAATTCATTTATTTATTTCAGTTTGCCCTAAAAGTAACATCTATATATCCTTTTCAATTTACTTATACGTTGCATGCATTAATTGTAACTAACCGAATTTTGAATATATGTTTTCATGAAATCCTTTCATGTATTAATTGTTGTGAAACATATCACACCGTCAAAAAAGAATAATAGAGGAAATATATATTCTTTGTATCTTGGAAAAAGTTTTAAGATAGGATTTTTTAATATTGAGACTTCCCTAGATTGGGTTTTCTAATTAATCTTTTCTGTTTTCCCTTGAATTAGAAGCCTTGGTTCCAAAGGTACTTCAGCCATTTTCCTCACACAACGAAACATAATTGCCAAATTCAATTCTAGAATAGCTTGGCACTTTAGTAGTTTCTATTCTTTGGGAAAAAGAGATTCAAAGGTAGTTTGTTTTAGTCAGGTTTTTTAGGGATGTTTTTGCTGGCTAGTTAAAAAACTTAATCGTGTTTGGCCTCCTCTTATTTAAAATTTGGGATTAAAAATTCTTTATATGGGTCTGCAAAGAAATAAAAATAAAATTGGAAAAAATATTATTCATTGTAATTCACCTCTACCACAAATGATAATCCCATCATTTCAGAAGAAAAAGAAAGATTTTTAAGTAATATTTGATGTTTCAAAATATAAGATATTAACATTTTGGATGTAATTTTTCGCCAATGAATGTTCGTTTACCAATTAAAATTTAAAAATGTTTTATAATTGTTTAGGTTGCTCTAGATTTGTATTTTCAATGATCTTATTAAATAAAAATAACTTCATTAGACTTGCGCTTTTGAAAAAAAAAATCTTATATTTTAAAACATAATAAAAGAACAATTAATAAAAGCCTAAATATTCATATCAACATTAATTTTTCTGTAGAATTTTACTTTACAAAAAGAATGACCAATGATAAATTATTTTACAAATAGATGAAGAATTTCACTTTGACAAGTTTCAAACAAATTGCTTAATTTTCTTCTCTTTCTTAATGTTTCACGAAAATGCATTAAACCTCAAGTGAAATAGTTGTTATGAGAATGATAATATGTATAAGCCTATGTAGATATAATTATGATCGACCACATCCACATTATATAATAGTGTAAACTAGTTATAATCTCATCGCATACGGTCTAAAAATAACAAAGAAGCTAAATTTTTTGTGGAAAAAAATTGTAAAGAGCTTTGTATAATTAATTATCAAATCGTTATTAAAAATTTGCATATTGTATCATTAGCTACATACCATAAAAATACGTGTAACCTCTGTTTTTTCTTTTATAATGTTCTCCCACTTTTTACAAGTTTTTTTAAATAAAATACTAGATTTCTAAAAAACATTATTAATTTGAATTTCAAGAATATAAATATATGATTTTGTTTACAAGATTTATATGCAGTTAGAATTAATATTTGATAGACTAAAATACTAAACCAACAATCACTACCTTGGAAACCTAAAGAAACCGTATTAGAGTTAGGAATGCAAATGAGCTCATGAAATTTTATTTTAATATATATATTATATATAGTTAAAATAGAATAACAAAGCATTATTTTATAATACATCATCTTATAAACCAATATTTTATAACAATACTTCAATTAGAAAATAATTAATAGTGAGATGATTAAGGACTTTCAACTTCAGTAGAACATCTATCCCAAACCTCGTTAGTTCTGAAAGAAATTTGAGAAGCGAAGCGTTTGAGTTGATAAAATTGAAACATCACCTTTCTAATCTCCATGTAGCATTTTTTTCCAGCTTTTACTACCTTCATACAACACTCTCTGGAAACAGGTTTCTTCGTAAGAATCTCCTCAATGACATCTGCATTACAATTCCTAAAATCACTCTCCATCGTATTCATGCATGTTCTGATATACAACATGTATTTTGTTGGGAGGTTCTCGAGCAAATCCAAGTTGTAATCCTGCGAAGCAGGAGAGATTGCCTTCACTGCATCCATATCACGACCAGGATTAACCATTGGTTCATCGTCAATATTCTTTTGGCCAAAACTTGGATACACAAATGTCACCACAATGGTAGTTATGAAAAATGCCATAAAAAGTTTCTTAAGTTCCATTCTCTATAATTATTCTTTTAAATTTCTTGTTTTAATTATTTTTGTCTTCTATTACCAAAATATATAAGTGTGTATATATACAGTAACTGACTGCCTTTGAGTGTTATTCTGGTGATAATTTTAATTAATAAAAGTAAGCTTTTCAGTTGTTTTACACACCATAATTCATTTATTTATTTCAGTTCGCCCTAAAAGTAACATCTTTATATCCTTTTTAATTTACTTATACGTTGCATGCATTATTTGTAACTAACCGAATCTTGAATATATGTTTTCATGAAATCCTTTCATGTATTAATTGTTGTGAAACATCTCACACCGTCAAAGAAGAATAATAGAGGAAATATATATTCTTTGTATCTTGGAAAAAGTTTTAAGATAGGATTTTTTAATATTGAGACTTCCCTAGATCTGGTTTTCTAATTAATCTTTTTCTGTTTTTCCTTGAATTATAAGCCTTGGTTCCAAAGGTACTTCAGCCTTTTTCCTCACACAACGAAACATAATTGCCAAATTCAATTCTAGAACAGCTTGGCACTTTAGTAGTTTCTATTCTTTGGGAAAAAGAGATACAAAGGTAGTTTGTTTTAGTCATGTTTTTTAGGGATGTTTTTTGCTGGCTAGTTAAAAAAACTTAATCGTGTTTGGCCTCCTCTTATTTAAAATTTGGGATTAAAAGTTCTTTATATGGGTCTCCAAAGAAATTAAAAAAAAAGTTGGAAAAAAATATTATTCATTGTTATCCACCTCTACCACATATGATAATCCCATCATTTCAGAAGAAAAAGAAAGATTTTTAAGTAATATTTGATGTTTCAAAATATAAGATATTCACATTTTGGATGTACTTTTCGCTAATGAATGTTCTTTAACCAATTAAAATTTTAAAAATGTTTTATAATTGGTTAGGTTGCTCTAGATTTGTATTTTCAATGATCTTATTAAATAAAAATAACTTCATTAGACTTGCGCTTTTGAAAAACAAATATCTTATATTTTAAAACAAAATGAGAGAACAATTAATAAAAGCCTAAATATTAATATCAACATTAATTTTTCTGTAGAATTTTAATTTAAAAAAAGAATGACCAATGATAAATTATATTACAAACAGATGGAGAATTTCACTTTAACAAGTTTTAAACAAATTGCTTAATTTTCTTCTCTTTCTTAATGTTTCACGAAAATGCATTAAACCTCAAGTGAAATAGTTGTTATGAGAATGATAATATGTATAAGCCTATGTAGATATAATTATGATCGACCACATCCACATCATATAATAGCGTAAACTAGTGATAATCCCATCGCATACGGTCTAAAAATAACAAAGAAACTACATTTTTTGTGGAAAAATATTGTAAAGAGCTTTGTATAATTAATTATCAAATCGTTATTACAAATTTTCATATTGTATCATTAGCTATGATCATAAAAATACATGTAACCTAGTTTTTTCTTTATGTTGTTCTCCCGCTTTTTATAATTTTTTTAATAACATACTTGATTTCTAAACAACATTATTTATATGAATTTCAAGAATATAAATATATGATTTTGTTTAACAAGATTCATATGCAGTTAGAATTAATCTTTGATAGACTAAAATACTAAACCAACAATCACTACCTTGGAAACCTAAAGATACCGTATTAGAGTTAGGAATGCAAATGAGCTCATGGAATTTTTATTTTATTATATATATTATATATAGTTAAAATAGAATAACAAAGCATTATTTTATAATACATCAAGTTATAAACCAATATTTAATAACAATACTTCAATTAGAAAATAATTAATAGTGAGATGATGAAGGACTTTCAACTTCAGTAGAACATCTATCTCAAACCTCATTAGTTCTGAAAGAAACTTGAGAAGCAAAGCGTTTGAGTTGATAAAATTGAAACATCACCTTTCTAATCTCCATGTAGCATTTTTTTCCAGCTTTTACTACCTTCATACAACACTCTCTGGAAACAGGTTTCTTCGTAAGAATCTCCTCAATGACATCTTCATTACAATTCCTAAAATCACTCTCCATCGTATTCATGCAGGTTCCGATATACATCATGTATTTTGTTTGGAGGTTCTCGAGCATATCCCAATTGTAATCTTGCGAAGCAGGAGAGATCGCCTTCACTGCATCCATATCACGACCATGATTAACCAGTGGTTCATCGTCAATATTCTTTTGCCCAAAACATGGATACACAGATGTCACCACAGTGGTAGTTATGAAAAATGCCATAAAATTTTTCTTAAGTTCTATTCTCTATAATTATTCTTTTTAACTTTCTTATTTTAATTATTTTTGTCTTTTATTACCAAAATATATAAGTGTTTATATATATAGTAATTGACTGCCTTTGAGTGTTATACTGGTGATAATTTTAATTAATTAAAGTAAGCTTTTCAGTTGTTTTACACACCATAATTCATTTATTTATTTCAGTTCGCCCTAAAAGTAACATCTATATATTCTTTTTAATTTACTTATATGTTGCATGCATTAATTGTAACTAACCAAATCTTGAATATATGTTTTCATGAAATCCTTTCATGTATTAATTGTTGTGAAACATCTCACACCGTCAAAGAAGAATAATAGAGGAAATATATATTCTTTGTGTCTTGGAAAAAGTTTTAAGATAGGATTTTTTAATATTGAGACTTCTCTAGCTTGGGTTTTCTAATTAATCTTTTATGTTTTCCCTTGAATTATAAGCCTTGGTTCCAAAGGTACTTCAGCCTTTTTCCTCACACAACGAAACATAATTGCCAAATTCAATTCTAGAACAGCTTGGCATTTTAGTAGTTTCTACTCTTTGGGAGAAAGAGATTCAAAGGTAGTTTAATTTAGTCATGTTTTTTTGGGATGTTTTTTGCTGGCTAGTTAAAAAACTTAATCGTGTTTGGCCTCCTCTTATTTAAAAATTGGGATTAAAATTTCTTTATATGGGTCTGCAAAGATAAATAAATTGGGAAAAATATTATTCATTGTTATCCACCTCTACCACAAATTATAATCCCATCATTTCAGAAAACAAGATAGATTTTTAAGTAGTATTGATGTTTCAAAATATAAGATATTCACATTTTTGGATGAAATTTTTCGCTACTGAAAGTTATTTTACCAATTAAAATTTTAAAAATGTTTTATAATTGGTTAAGTTGCTCTATATTTGTATTTTCAATGATCTTATTAAATAAAAATAACTTCATTAGACTTGCGCTTTTGAAAAAAAAAATATCTTATATTTTAAAACAAAATGAGAGAACAATTAATAAAAGCCTAAATATTAATATCAACATTAACTTTTCTGTAGAATTTTAATTTAAAAAAAAAGAATGACCAATGATAAATTATATTACAAACAGATGGAGAATTTCACTTTAACAAGTTTCAAACAAATTGCTTAATTTTCTTCTCTTTCTTAATGTTTCACGAAAATGCATTAAACCTCAAGTTAAATACTCCCGTTCCTAAATAATCCATGTTTTAGAATTTTCACACTTATTAAGAAAACACTTAAATTTTTGATAATAAATGCATTATTTTATGTGTTTAGCTATTTCTAATGATTTTTAACCAATCAAAATTCAGCAAACATAATTAATGTTTTTGAAGTTTACAATTTACCATTATTACATACATTGAAAATGTAAAATATGATTCTTTTAGAAACAAAATTTTTTTCTAAAATATGGATCATTTAGGAACGGAGGGAGTAGTTGTTATGAGAATGATAATATGTATAAGCCTATGTAGATATAATTATGATCGACCACATCCACATCATATAATAGCGTAAACTAGTGATAATCCCATCGCATACGGTCTAAAAATAACAAAGAAGCTACATTTTTTTGTGGAAAAATATTGTAAAGAGCTTTGTATAATTAATTATCAAATCGTTATTACAAATTTTCATATTGTATCATTAGCTATGATCATAAAAATACATGTAACCTAGTTTTTTCTTTATGTTGTTCTCCCGCTTTTTATAATTTTTTTAAAAAATACTAGATTTCTAAACAACATTATTTATTTTAATTTCAAGAATATAAATATATGATTTTGTTTAACAAGATTCATATGCAGTTAGAATTAATATTTGATAGACTAAAATACTAAACCAACAATCACTACCTTGGAAACCTAAAGATACCGTATTAGAGTTAGGAATGCAAATGAGCTCATGGAATTTTTATTTTATTATATATATTATATATAGTTAAAATAGAATAACAAAGCATTATTTTATAATACATCAAGTTACAAACCAATATTTAATAAAAATACTTCAATTAGAAAATAATTAATAGTGAGATGATGAACGACTTTCAACTTCAGTAGAACATCTATCCCAAACCTCGTTAGTTCTGAAAGAAACTTGAGAAGCAAAGCGTTTGAGTTGATAAAATTGAAACATCACCTTTCTAATCTCCATGTAGCATTTTTTTCCACCTTTTACTACCTTCATACAACACTCTCTAGAAACAGGTTTCTTCGTAAGAATCTCTTCAATGACATCGCATTACAGTTCCTAAAAGCACTCTCCATCGTATTCATGCAGGTTTCGATATACATCATGTATTTTGTTGGGAGGTTCTCGAGCATATCCCAATTGTAATCTTGCGAAGCAGGAGAGATCGCCTTCACTGCATCCATATCACGACCAGGATTAACCAGTGGTTCATCGTCAATATTCTTTTGCCCAAAACTTGGATACACAAATGTCACCACAGTGGTAGTTATGAAAAATGCCATAAAATTTTTCTTAAGTTCTATTCTCTATAATTGTTCTTTTTAACTTTCTTATTTTAATTATTTTTGTCTTCTATTACCAAAATATATAAGTGTGTATATATATAGTAATTGACTGCCTTTGAGTGTTATGCTGGTGATAATTTTAAATAATTAAAGTAAGCTTTTCAGTTGTTTTACACACCATAACTCAATTATTTATTTCAGTTCGCCCTAAAAGTAACATCTATATATTCTTTTTAATTTACTTATATGTTGCATGCATTAATTGTAACTAACCGAATCTTGAATATATGTTTTCATGAAATCCTTTCATGTATTAATTGTTGTGAAACATCTCACACCGTCAAAGAAGAATAATAGAGGAAGTATATATTCTTTGTGTCTTGGAAAAAGTTTTAAGATATGATTTTTTAATATTGATACTTCTCTAGATTGAGTTTTCTAATTAATCTTTTCTGTTTTCCCTTGAATTATAAGCCTTGGTTCCAAAGGTATTTCAGCCTTTTTCCTCACACAACGAAACATAATTGCCAAATTCAATTCTAGAACAGCTTGGCATTTTAGTAGTTTCTACTCTTTGGGAGAAAGAGATTCAAAGGTAGTTTAATTTAGTCATGTTTTTTTTGGGATGTTTTTTGCTGGCTAGTTAAAAAACTTAATCGTGTTTGGCCTCCTCTTATTTAAAAATTGGGATTAAAATTTCTTTATATGGGTCTGCAAAGAAATAAATAAATTGGGAAAAATATTATTCATTTTTATCCACCTCTACCACAAATTATAATCCCATCATTTCAGAAAATAAGAAAGATTTTTAAGTAATATTTGATGTTTCAAAATATAAGATATTCACATTTTTGGATGTAATTTTTCGCTTCTGAAAGTTCTTTTACCAATTAAAGTTTAAAAAATGTTTTATAATTGGTTAAGTTTCTCTAGATTTATGTTTTCAATGATCTTAATAAATAAAAATAACTTCATTATACTTGCGCTTTTTCTCTCAATACGCTGCTTAGCCAATGCTGATTGTACATGTTACGTTCATCTGGCTGCACAACCACCATGACTACCGCTCTGAAACAAAGAAAAAAGTACATCTTTAAACATGAAACCTTTGGAAACATGTTCTTTGGCTAAGGCTAACCTTGGGTTGTTGTCCAGACCCTAAACCCTAAACTAAATTGACTAAATTAAATAACTAACCACGTTATAAAATCAAAGTATACTTAAATAGTGTTTACTATACACAGAAATAAACACACTTAGGTAAATTTTAAATTTTCAAAAAAACATTGTTGCTTTCCAAATTCTAACCCTAAGAACATATACAATACTACAACATATGTTGGTAAAACCTAAACCAAAGAATATCATGACTCACTATTTTCAGGTCATCTATGTTGAAAACAATTAAATTTTGTTATATCTTAATTTATATCTCTTAAAACATATGTTAATTACATAATTTCAATTTTTCACTTATCAAAATATTTTTACAAATTTTTTAAATTATTTTTAAGAATTACTATACTAGAGGACTTTCAAGCCAGACGACTTACTTGAAAGTCGTTTGGACATAATACTTGCGGATAAGAAACGTAAAAAAAATTTGGTATTTTTGTTTGTTCACAAGGGGCTGGTTGTAATTTCAATAGCCTTTTAGGTTATTTTTGCATTTGATTCAAGTTTGAGTTTACTTTTGCATTTGAAATCAAGTTGTGAGTCATATTTGGCAACTTTCCCAAAATTTTACGCACGAAAAGGTAGTTAAGTCTTCCAGTAAGTCTTCTAGTGCATTATATCTTGGAAAATTTAAATTTTCCATAACCACAAAATCAAATATATAACTAAATCACATACAAAAACTTGACTAAACCTAAAATAAACTTATAAAGTGTTTAATATACACAAAACTAAACACATATATGTCAAATTTAGGATTTTTTTTCTAAACAATTAAGATTCTACAATCTAACCCTAAAACACAAACAGTATTATAACATAGTTACCAAACCCTAAACAAAAGAATACATACTAAATTACGTTCACTCATATATTGAAACTATTCAGTTTTAGTAAATCTAAATTTACATCATTTATAAATATCTATAATAATAACATGATTAAGATTTTTTTACTAATCAACATATTTTTTATAAAACTTATAAATTATTTTTAAGATCTATATCATGATAAGACTTTCAGGGAAGTCTGCTCTCGCAGGGTTATAATAGTAAACTACAATACTGTTTTTTTGCTTAGTCATGAGGAGATGTTTGTAATTTCACTAGCCTTTTGAGTTACTTTTGCATTTGATTTGAATTGGGGTACACATTTGCATTTAAAATCAAGTTTTGAGTCATATTTGGCAAATCTTTTTTTTATATTTTTCTCCCACTTTTTATATTTTCTATAGATTAAATAGATTGCCAAACAACATTATTTATTTGAGTTTCAAGAAAAAATATGATTTTGTTTAACAAGATTCATCTGCAGTTAGATTTAATATTTGATAAAATAAAAAACTAAGCCAAAAATACTACCTTGGACAACTAAAGATACCATATTAAAGTTAGGAAAACGAATGAACTGATTACTTTATTTTATATATTATATATAGTTATCATATTATAACAAACCTTTATTTTATAATACATCATATAACTATTTTATAACAAATCTTCAACTAGAAAATCTTAATAGTGAGATGATGAAAGACTCTCACATTCAATAGAAAAACTATTTCAAACCTCATTAGTTTTGAAAGAAACTTGAGAAGCGAAGATGTTTGAGTTGATAAAAGTGAAACATCATTTTTCTAATCTCCATGTAGTATTTTTCCCAGCTTTTACTAGCTTCAAACAACACTCCCTAGAACACATGTTTCTTCGTAAGAATTTTCTTAATGACATTTTCATTACATTTTTTACCACCATTCCTATATTATCCATGCATGTTCTGATATAAATTATGGTTTTTTCTGAGGTTCTTGAGCATACTATAATTGTAATCTTGCAAAGCATGAGAGATCGTCTCTGCTGCATCCATCTCAGGACCGAGATTAACCAATGGTTCATCGTCAACATCTTTTTGGCCAAAACTTGGATACACGCAAATGTCACCAGAGTGGAAGTAATTGACTACCTTTGAATGTTATGCTGGTGATATTTTTTAATTAATAAAAGTAAGTTTTTCAGTTGTTTTACAACACCTTAATTCATTTATTTCCTCAGTTAGTTCTAAGACTGACATCTGCATATCATTTTTAATTTACTTCTACAAGCATTTATTGAAGAAAAAAAACAGAAGTTTAGAAGAAGCATATATGATTTCTGCAAATAATTGTAAAGAACTTTGTTTCCTCATATGTTTTGTCTTTATGATTTATAGTACACATATCTTTAACAAGCAAGAAGAACAGGACAAAGGGAAGCAGAAACATGAATGACTGTGAATGAGAACCATCTCAATTCAAATAAATGCTGTCCAAGACAGCAAAACCAGCAGCAACACCGCCTTCATCTGATGAAGAGACCTTTGTGCGCATCAGATAACCGCTCTGCTCATTTATTATTACTTTCTCCTTGTTCCTACACGTTTCAATATTTGCTCAAATATTACGCCAGAACATACTAAGAAGAGACTTAACTTGAGATACCAAAATCTTCTTACTACTCTGTACCTGAGGTAAGCGCCATAGATTCCAAGTTCTGATATAGCTTGATCTTTATGGTAAACGCCTTCTCGCACCAAGAAGACGTTTGAGACTTTTGGGAATATCCTCTGCATTAGGATATACGCAGCGTTTTCTTCCTCTCCTTCTTTCTGGAACCTCAGTAGATTTTCCCTCACATCATCTCCATAGATGTTGTTACCTGAAAGAATCCAAGAACATAAACTTAGAATATGAGGGGAAGTACAGTAGAAGACTTTAGGAGACTTCAACTGGGTTCTAACCTCCTCCTTCTCTCTGAGGCTTCATAACGAACAACTCAGGCTTTTCGATTGCTTTCTTGATGATTTCTGGATCGTCCAAGCTCCAAAGTCCAGCAAAGCATTTCCTCAGCTTAGCAACGTCATCTTTGTTATCCATAAACCTGTTTATTGAATGTTCAGTTTCAGCCTCTCTGCAAGATAAAAGATATGATCCATTTTACCTCTCGAGAACACCTGGTTTTGCGAGTTCTTGCTGGATTTTCTTGGTGCCAGCTAAATGATAAGCTATAGACGGGCATTTGACAGCTGAGGACTGCTCTATAAGCAACCTAGCATCCCATTCCTTCAAATCACAATACTGATTCAGAATATTTTCAAGAAAAAGCAAAGCCACAATATGGGTAAGAAGATAGTTTACTTACTAATTCAGATGGATAATCTCTGGGAGTATAACCTGATCTGTAATAAACCACCGAGACTGCTTGGCCATCACTGCAACAACAAAAGCTCTTTCACATAGTTTTCAACAATAAATGCTATAAAAAAACAGAGTTGAAAAACAACTACTTACACAATAAGGGTTCCATCCTCTTGTACACTCCCTTCTTTTTCGACTTGTGCTAAACTCTTCCTAATGGTTACAATATTGTGCGTGTTTTGAAGTTAAAGAAGAGCAAAACAACCCCTTATATGGTCTAATAACTCAAGATCGATCCTCGGAAAGCGAAGAAACATTATAAAAAGTGGATATTTTTCTCTCAATACGCTGCTTAGCCAATGCTGATCGTACATGTTGCGTTCATCTGGCTGCACAACCACCATGACTACCGCTCTGAAACAAAGAAAAAAGTATATGTTTAAACATGAAACCTTTGGAAACATGTTCTTTGGATAAGGCTAACCTTGGGTTGTTGTACTCCAACCAAGCTTTAGCCATTGCGTCAGCAAATTGGCTAGTGGATGTGTTTTTGGGTACACGTTCAGAGTCTAGCCCAAGATGATCCCCATGAGATCTAAGCAACGACCTGCAAACAAGGGAAAGAAGTAAAAAAAAAATGTAACCTTTTAAGCTAAATGAGAAGATGGATGGTGTATGGATACACGTACTGGTGTAGCTCGGTAACAAGACGACCAAAGCCTGGAAATGAACACGAAATAGTATTCATCTCTATCTGAAGAAGTGATTTTGTTTCTTCATCCAGCATATAATCTGACCGGTGTAAACCCAAACGAATGTCCTGCAAACGCCAAACACAACCAAATGAATGAAACCAAGAACATTCTTACCATAGAATCAGGGAAACCATAATATAATGTAGAAGACCTCTTTCTTGTTGCTTTCTAGCATCTTGGAGTGAATATCAAGAAGTCTAGATGTAAAGATGTCGGCTTTTTTCGTTCTGCAACATATAGAGAATCAATCAAAGACAGCTACTTTCAGATAGAGAGAGACTTAAGATGAACTAACCTGGAGAGACTGTCCTGTATGAATTTGGCATCCAAGCTGACACAATCAACCAATTCATTGAAGAGAGGAGCAACTTCACAAGCTTGCTTAAAGAAACTCTCTGGGAATGGAGTTGGTAGTAATGCAATTGGGGCGTGAGTCATCCCAACCCCTGGAACTGTTCCTGATTTCTGTAATCAAATACTTCTCATCAAAACCATCTTCTTTCTATATCATCCATAACAAGTAATATCTAAGATTGATTCACATCAAGTATGGCTATGAGTATGATCAGGATAATTTAACAGGAAGACAATTTTCAAATCAGCTACAAGACCAACTTTATTGGAACAGATCATGACCAAGCCTCATGTTTGTATGATTGGAACATCAAAAGACAGGAACTTGAGTTGAGGGTGTGGGGGCAACTAACCTGATAAGCTTTGTCACCAACGACAAGCCCGTGAAGGGAACACCAGACGAGAGCATCATAGACTAGCTTCTGGACAAACTCATCGTCAAAGTTTTCGACTTGGAACATGGGTTTCTCTGATTCCATCGCAAAGAGATCTCCCACAAATCAAAGGGGGCAACGAAAGTGGAAGAAGAACAAGAAGAGCTAAGAGAGGAAGAGCAGCCACTGACTATTTGCAAGCCTTTTGGAGGATCACATCACGTTTAAATCATGTTCGTCAACCAAAGATCACTACGACGACTTTTCTAAGGAATAATTATATTATTCTATTTAACATCTCTCTTACAAAAAGGTAAAAATCTCTATAATTGTTTGAGCCAAATGATTTTAATTTAAGAAAAGTGTTTAGTACAGGCAAGTCAGAGAATCTCCAAAAAGGAACTCTATTTTAGAGTTTCACAAACTCTATATTTAAAGTTTCAAAGTGATCTTCTCCAAAAGAAAAACTTCAAAACTAACTTCAAAATTATTTGTATATTACATTATAGCTCTTAAAGTTTCACAAACTCTATATTTAAAGTTTCAAAGTGATCTTCTCCAAAAGAAAAACTTCAAAACTAACTTCAAAATTATTTGTATATTACATTATAGCCCTTATATTTGTCACAATTAATGAAAATTCATAAAAGAATATAAATAACTAACACATATATTAAAATATTACATCAATATTAATTAATAAAATTTTACATTAAATACAAAACTAGAAATAGTAATACATAATTAAATATTAAACTACAAGCAAAATACCACATTATTCCATGAAATGATTGAATTACGAATGAAAAATGAAACAAAAAAGTTAGCTTTAAAAAAGTAAAAGAGAAAAAAAAAATATTGCAAATCGATGATATTAATACTCGTGAGTACATTCATTCTGAAAAAAAAGAATCATACGAAAAAGATGTCAAGAAAGTCAAGAACAACCATTTTGATTACGAAAAATTTGTTTGAATTTGAAGATTTTGGAGCTTCCGGGACTTATTTACTAAATTATTAGTGTTGTTGTAATATTTATATTTCTATAATAATTACGTTTTCATGTACCTTTTTAAAAAATAATTTTGATTAAGTTTGTTTTGTAATATTCTTGTTGTCTAATTCTAATTTTAAAATAATATAAATTTTATTTAAACTTTTTTATTCAATTTTATGTGTAAAGCTTAATTTATAGAAATAAATTAAAGATTTGTGAAATATAATTTTTTAAAGATTAAAATGATAAATAAGAAAATACTTAAGAATCCTAAATAAGATATGTAAATATAAGGACCAAATTGCAAATAAAAAGATGAAACTTCAAATTTGAAGTTTTGAGAATATGAAGTTTCACTTCCCAAAACTTCAAATTTGAAGTTTTGGAGTTTCTTTTTGGAGAGCAAAAAACTCTATATTTGAAGTTATAGAGAATCTTTTGGAGATGCTCTTAGAGATGCCTTTTGAACACTATCCATTTTCTACTCAAAAGAAAGATTTTAAAGTCTTTGTTCTCCAGCATCCACTATTTTGGCAACCTTTAAATCATCTTTTTTTATGAAGTGGTCAGGTAGGTGAGAGTGGTTAGTAGTTGAAAACTTGTCTTCTTAGTTGTAGGACCTTGTTGTATACAAATTGAATTCAGCTGGGGATATAAACTAAGTAATGGAGCCAACAACACAGCACACACCTTTTATCATTTAAAGGACCTAGCTTTTTACTCCTTACGAGAGTATGTTACACTAGTTTCCTGATCATAAACAATCCACCCAATAACTCTTAAAGTAGAAGATATCAAAGTAAACGACAGAAGCAACAAAACCATTCTCTGCTAAATGGAACTACAAAATAAAATGAATTCCAACGAGGTTTCTACAAGGCAAATTCTTCTTTCTGATGTCTTTGCAATTATTAATGGTTCTCGCAAAGCGGATTTCTCTAGGGCCTAATCAGATAACATTCACCCTTTAGTTGCAACAGAAAATAGAAGAACGCCAGTTGTGTAGACAATTCTGACTTGGCACAAAAAATCACAGGGCGGGTTGGATCTTATCCTTTGTGGGAAATTCAATCCGGCCACAGAGACGCCAGCAAGCTCCTGTGTGGAATAGAGACTTCTCAAAGACCCAGATGTCACGTACAAGCACCTGCAGAAGCAACGAACTTGTAACTCACTTGCAGGTAGGAAACCTTCTTAAATTTCCAATTATTTTTAAGTGATACCAACTAATTGTACCCTACAAAACAATCATAGCTTCTTCCTGATGCCCCTATTGCAAAAACGAAGTGATTCAAGTATACTTTACCTCTTTCTTCTTGTCTCCAGCTACTACATTGCCTTTTGCATCGTATGCTTCAAATTTCTAAAGATAGTAATGATATCCAGAACTCAGTACAGCTTCAAATGCACTATAAACAAACTGATGGCTAAAGATAACACTGACCTGCTTTGTCAGAAACTCAAGTGTCAGTTGTATGAATGCTTTGTTAAGGTCCGTCCTGTCGATGCCAATCTGAGGAGTTGTCAAAAGGATGAAAAATATAAGGGTGAGCTTGAAAATCCCCAAGTGATTTGTTGCTTCAGATTCAACAAATGTATTTTAAAGAAATCAAGTTTTTCAAAGAACTTGCCAGTCGAGCTTGTAAAGTTTTGATTTTGATGACCGGCTCAACCATTTCCCAGTAAACACTACTCCACCTGGCTTCTCTTTGTTTAATTTCATTCTTCAATGCCTACATCAAAAAATAACCAAAACATTGAACAAACACTTGTGCACAGTCTCTTAACATACAAAAACTGATAACCAACTCGTTGGAAAGCTTACAGAATACATCCTTTCAGTTACGTTTTTCCTTATTGTCTTCTTGTCACCATTGGCCATCATAATGTTAATCTGAAGAAAACATGTGTTGGCTAGAAGAACCTCAAGATGATTTGTAAAAAAAGTTTCACTACAAGAGCAACAACCAAGTATAGAAGTACATACCTCTTTGTATAACTCTACCGCTTCTACGTAGAACTTATTCTTTGAGTACCCAGTTTTTCTTAACTTTGCGATAGCGTAGGCACTTCTTAGCTGAAATTTAGAGTTTTGACATGTTATTAGCATATCTTTGGAACATATATTCTAGCCTTAGATAATGCATGAAGATGTTTCAACCTCCCGTACGAAGTCCTCTTTCGTTCTTTTCCAACCGCCTCTTGTGAGACATCTACAATTCAAAAGAAAGCAGTTAAAACTCAATTCTAAAAAAAAACATGCTCTGCCACTACTTGGGACTTGAGAAAGTGTATATGAGTGAAAAAAATGCAGAGATGGAGCTCATTAGCATTAGAACAGTAGTTTTCAAACTATATATAAGTAATAAAATAAGTATAATGCCAAACATACCTCCGCCACAACGGGATTTTCTCATGGAGTGTATAGGGCTCGTAAACAAATCCAGGGCTTACCATTGACACTCTAACAGCTCCCTGTACTCGTAAATAGCGATGTGAGACATCAAACCATATGAAACAACAGAAAAATGCAAGAGTGAGGAACTGAAATTGAGTAACTTAACACACCGTTTTCTGTAGCTGAGGTGGAGCCTTGACTTGCGTTGTAGCAAACCTTTTGTCACTGCTAAAGGGAAAAGACTCTGCAATCTAAACACACACAAGAAGAAACAACAACAAAATCATGTCTGTGATCATAACAAAGTTTGGTCAATAAGATTTGAGAGTAGAACATGAGCCAAATGATGAATCTGGTGACTTACCATTGTAGATCGAAGCAAATGTGTGCTGGCAGCGTTGTGGCTCTCATATAAGCGTGAATACACACTCTTTCCATGAGTGTCAGGAACTGGAAATATCAATTACATTACTAAATAACTCAAAAGCATCAATTCACAGTCAAACCAATGGAGAAATGGGATCTGTATTCATTACCGTGACAAAGTGAAGAATGATAGCTCCTCCAACGCCCCAATCTGAGACTATCACCAGCTTGAGTCCAAGCCAACTCATTTCCACTCCGAAAACTGGAAACAAATGATAAAAAAAATGGATTCTTTTAAAGCTAATATACGTTACATCTCACATAGAAGTAATGGAAACTGGATGCAGAAGCTAAAAATTGTATCTTTTGCGCTAGATTGACCTTAGCAGATTCCAAAAGGTTCTCGAGCAGAACGTGGTAACAGGAAACGATTCATAGTTCAGTTATCACGCATTTTCCTAAAACGCAATTAAAGGGAAAACAATGAAGTTAGGAAGCTGCTTACGGAAGTGAAGGAGATTCTGTTGATCCAGCTGTTCTCAGCAAGGAACGAACTGTCTGTAACCTCCTCACGAGCGCCATTTTCGATCTCAAAGAAAAACCCTAGCTTTCGTTGATCTCAAATCTCATCAGAGGATCTATCTGTTCTTCAGGGTTTAAGGTGGATAAGATTCACTACGTCGCGGAGCAGCGTATCTCGATGTGTCTCTCTTCTAGACTAAAAACGTTTGTGGCAACTCTGGAAACGCAGACGCACGTTTTTAATGATTTGCTAAAAACATGAGCAGGTTGCAACAACAGAACCGCAGAAAACACATTAAAATATTGATGACCAAACATCTTGTACGGGAACGCCTAGAACAATAAGCAAAATAGCGTTCTTGGACGCTACAAGAACAATATAAACTCCTCATTTAAAAGAATATTGACTTCTTTTGTTCATTACAGTATGCATTACAATAACGAACATCACATCACCAAAGGCAAAAAAACAGAACTTGAATGACTCAAAAGTGTTCAAAAACAATGCCAATTTATCCTCTTCAATTATACATTTTTGGGTTGAACTCCAAGAGCGCTTCACGTTGCTTGTTAATTATTGGACCGTCAGAGAAATGGCAGCAGATCGAAGCTTCAACTCATCTTCTTTCCATTTGGATTCCGGTGCAGCTGCTCCAGCTATAAAAACCTTTTCAAGGATCACAGACGAAACAAATCATCAGTGAGTTATATGAATGTGCAAGTATGAGTCTCACAGAGTAATCTTGAGTTTGCAGCAGAGACCCACCCTCCCCCTGTTCACCGCTGCTACTAGAGCAATACGTTCTTCATCTCTCCCAAACTCGTACAGGTAGTAATTTCTGCATACAAAGATAACAACAAGGAGATCGACTTTCATAAACAAATGAAGAACATGCACTCCCCAACTGATATAAGGAGACTTGCCTGAAGCCTTCGTCCTCCTTGACCTTGATTGTACGAGCCGAGTAAATCGTTGCCGCACCTGCTTGTGGTTGAAGATATTAACAAACAATGACCAGAACCAAAAATGCAAGAAGAACGAAAGGATATCAAAGGCAAGACTGTAAGCGATTTAGAGAACCTGGAACAAAGATTCTTGCAGCTTCCTTCAATGATCCCAGTTCAGATATATCTTTAGCCTAATTGAATCAGAAAGCATTTGATGAGCAAAAGGAAATGTAAGTTTGTAAAAGGAAATGCTGTTGTGCAAACCTCTAAGAAAGTGATCTTAAGGGAATTTGAAGGGCGGATGACCACGCTCACAACTTCTGATCTGCATCATCAACACATGATTTGTCACACAAATTTTCTAATGAACAACTTGTTGTTGAATGAATCGGGACAATTATTACCCATCAGGAGATGCAAAACGGGCAGCAAAAGTTTTTGGCTTTGCCTTGTCCCCATATAGAGACAATCCTGCAGAGTAATCCTAAAAACATGAGGTAACACACGATGTCAAGAACAACAATGATCAAACGCACAGTTCACTGTAGCAAAACATTTTCAACGCCAAATAAACAACCATTGATTCAGACCAAACTTGGCAGCTAAACAAGTGTTCTCATTCACTAATACACCAAAATAAACCCTAAATTTCAAACAAAGAATCAAACTTTTCAGCAAGAAACCACAAAAGTCTACAACTTTAAGGACTAAACGAGCAGCCTTTGCACATTCTATCCTCCAATGTCACTCATTAATTGGCATTCACAAGAGATACACACACCTCAGGCTCAGTGAAGTCAACAAACTGAGGTGGAATCCTGATTGAGAAACCATCGCCAAAGTACTGGAACCAAGAGTTTGTATTGGCAATGGCGAGTCTAGCCGGTTTGGGAGACTTCGAAGGTTCAGCTAAAGACTCCAGAAGTGGGTTCTGAAATACGAAGGAGACGAAACAGAGAGATGCTGTTCTGAGAACCACATCTCTCCGAAAGGTGGGGACTTCAAGAGATGCAGAAAGAGTCTTGGGTCTGTTAGGGTTATGGTGCTTGAGGTTTGGTGGATGAAGAGAGCGGAGGCAGTGAAGTAGAATGGCCATGTGGAGACGAAGAAGAAGATAGAAGAAGAAGATTTCATCATAGCTTGTAATGGATAAGAAGTTGTAAACTAGCTTTGAAGGTAACTAGGAAAACAAAAGGTGCAAGGCGAGGGGTACTTTAGTAAACTTAAGGTTATTTAAGTGTCATTTAATAATTTATGTATAATGGGCCAAATCATTGCAGGCCCATTAAGCCCAAAGTTTTATAACTGCTAAAGCGATTCTCCGAGCTTGACACGGCGAAGTCATGGCGGCGGCGAACGAGAACTCGACGGAGTCAGAGTCACAGTACCTTCATGTACTCTCTGCATTCCTCGCAATGGAACCGGTGGACTCAGTGATTGCACTCGCGAGGTATAGTCGCCGCCGTGAGCTGCTTTGTTTGATTTGTTCCGGCGTTTGATTTTTGGTTTCCTTTTTATGTAGAAAGTGTTCAGGAGGATCATTTACAGAGAGCATCCAGAGGCTTCTCTGGGAGACTTGTGTTCAAGCTGTAAGTAAAGTTTACTCTTTTGCTCTCGTTATGCACTAGTCAGAGAAAGTTAGAAGCTTTATGTTAAGATCAGTTGGCATCACTTTTTTCAAGATTGAAACTTGAGTAGTATTAATATGTGTATGTAGGCTGCTAATGGTAACGCAATATACGCGAAAAAGTTACTGAAGAAACTTATAAATGAAGTTGAGTTGGAGAAAGGTGAAGTGTTAGATGAAGTGTATGAAGAGTATGCTCTTCACATGTCAACAGCTTCTAAGGTTTACATTTTTTGTGTTTTTGAAGTTTCCTTGTTTTTTTTTTTCGTGATTGGTGGAAAACAAAACTGAGTTTGGATGGGTGTTTAGGAGGATGCATTGGTGAAAGAAAACATAAGGATCACCAAGTTCATCTCTTTTCTTTTCCCAGAAGGTGAAGTCGTGTGTTCACTCTTTCTCTGAATATTTCTTATTGTGATGTGTTTGGGGACTCATCTGTGGATTGTTTTTAGTAGGTTTATACAAACGTCCAAGCTGTCCAAGTTCAAGGAAATTAGTTGTTCCGCTTCAGTGTTCATTGAACATGCTTGAAGGAGATACCGGGTAAGAGTCTTCCATGTGATTATTTGACTGCCACAGTTTCATTTAGATGCACGAGTTCTTTCTACATCGTCACTTTGTATCCTTTGTGTTGAGCAGGTGTTCAATCTGGCCCTCGAGCTTGTTTTTGTCAGAGTTTGTTCTGTCATATCCAGAGTTATTCACTGATAAATCCTGTTTTGAGGTTAGTTTGACATTATGAAGTTTTGACTGATGAAGTTTAAGTTCTGATCAATTCTGTTCACTCCATGATGTGGTTTAAGGTTGGTTCTGGAGTTGGTTTGGTCGGAATTTGTCTTGCACATGTAAAGGCAAAGAAGGTATCCTTCATTACTTATTTCCAACTTTCTCATCATATGTACAAAGGCATGTTGGGTCACAAAATTTATCTTGTGCAGGTGATACTAACAGACGGAGATCTCTTAACTCTGTCTAACATGAAGCTTAATTTGGAGAGGAATCACTTAAACTATGATGACGAGCTGCTCAAACAACCCGGAGAAGCTGAGAATACAGTGAGTAGGAGTTTCTTTGTGCTTTCTGATTCAGAGTATATATGATTCACTTAATTGATTGTTTCTCCATTAGCAGCGAGTTAAATGTATTCATCTCCCATGGGAAACTGCATCAGATAGCGAAGTGAGCGAGTATCGTCCAGATATTGTGTGAGTAAAAACCGACCATTTGTTAAAAGATGTTTTGCTTATGTCACTAACCTTACGTTCTTATCAGTCTAGGCGCAGATGTAATCTATGATCCGTCATGTTTCCCTCATCTACTTCGTGTTCTAGTAGCACTTTTAAGAAGACCAACCAAAAGAGACAATGGCTCTTTCGAGACTGAAGACAGAGCCACAACACTGCAAGGACGCAGCCCTGCAGTGGCTTATATCGCATCTGTGATCCGCAATGCAGACACTTTCAATGCGTTCTTGACACTTGTGGATCAGATGGATCTTTCCATCACAGACTTGACGGAAGAACTTAAGCCTCCGTATGAGCTTTTACCTTATATGCATTCGTATGACCGCTCAAAAGTCCGGCTCTTCTCCATATCCTCCAGATAATGAGTTTAAGCATTGTAGTTTTTTTTACAATTGAAATTACAGATTCTTTGAAACTTGTTCGAATATGGTAGTTGGTTGATCAGGTCAAAGGTTTGGTGGTTTATAAATCGTATTGAGCGTTTCATCTGGTTGCGGTTGCAGATCAGATTAAGCCTTTTCTAAAACACTATCACTGCGTGTTACTACAAAACGCTAGAGTTTTGATTTGAGGAAAACTTATCATCTTGTGATCTTCGACATATGTTTATTTATTCTCAAATTTCTGTTCCGTGAGACTGAGACTGTGACAGTGATCTGATGTCATTGTCGATATCAATTATTTGATTTAGTGGTTATACAGAACGAATCTCGATCTTGATGACTTACTTTATTACATCATCACTCACCAAATTCGATGTGGCAGGAGATAAGATATGCTTAAACTAATTGAAACAAAAATCATTCAATTTGGAATTTTTTGATCTTTTCCCAATAAAGTTTTTGTCTTCTTTTACATGAGAGGTCAAGATTCTCTGGTTTGGTTACTATATAACGAGAGACACGGACAAATGAAATGACAATACCTAAGTCGAGTAGATAGCGATCACTCTGTTTGATTTCAAAGCAATCGTCTGTAATGGAGGTGATTCACGCATGGTCTGCTCCAAGATCACTCAGCACCAGTCTCATGTACTCCTTTGCCCAGGTTCTGTTTCTTCTTGCTTCTCTCTGATAGATTTCCCCGGATAAACAACAGACTTTGAGTATTCCTGCAGTTATAGTTTTTGGTTTCTCTCTCAATCTCTGATGATGGAAATAATATTAACATTTGATTCACTGAAAAACCTTTTTGTGGGTGTGAGCTGTAACTTTGGCTTATATAACGCAGAGAGATGACACTGAGGTGCTCGACGAGCCATTATACGCTGCATTCCTCAAGGCTACAGGTGCTGAGAGGCCATACAGAGATGAACTTCTCTCTAAGATGGTATGTCAGTAACTGATTCAGGTTTCAATGCATTAAGGCAATCCTTTGTATATTCGTTGACGAGAAATTTTAAACATAATTGTAGGAGTGTGATGGAGAAAAGGTGGTGAAGGACATCATCTATGGTCCAGGAAACATGAAATATAGGTTTTGTAAGGTTAGACTCAATTCTCTTTCCGATTTAGAGACTTCAGTTTCGTTCTTTTATCGCTTAGGATAAAACTGTGATTTGTATAGCGTTTTTCTGGCCCTTCTATGTACAGCATATATCGAAACAGCGACTTCTTGGTTTGCCAAGTGAGCTAATGAGCAAAGGAAAGCACTTTATCTTGATACGCAATCCCCTTAACATATTGGTTAGCTTTATAAAACTCAATTCTGCTGAACTGGTTCACCTTGACGTTATGTGTCTGGTTTTTTAAAGGTTTGAGATGTTTCTTCTCATTGTTTGTTTGAAATTTTATTGCAGCCTTCCTTTGAGAAGGTACACCGTTTATCATTTTTTGAACTGGGATTGGGAGAGTTAGTTTCGATATACAGTGATCTCTGTCAGATGGGAACACCACCAGCAATCGTTGATGCAGATGAGCTTCAGCAAGATCCCGAGGTTTCTTTGCTGTATTATGAAAACATTGACAAGAAACTCTATTCTCTTATGTAAGAAGATGCTTATTTTTTTTTTGTATCATTCATCTATGACCAGGCTACATTACGTGGTCTTTGCAATGACTTGGATATACCGTTTCAAGCCTCTATGCTCAAGTAAGACTCTTTAGCTTTCTCTTGGATTTGACCGTAGACAGTAGGACAATGGCTCAATGTTTTTTTTGGTCTTCTTGAAGATGGAAGGCTGGTCCTATTCCAGAAGACGGATTATGGGCGTCATGGTGGTACAAGACTCTTCACAAATCAACAGGGTTTTCGTCTCCAAGGAAATATCCTCATGTATGAGTCCTAGTTTAGTACAAATAAAGATTCTGGAACTCGAAACATCATTCAAACTACATTGTGTTTTCTATTGTTGTCAGACATTCCCTTTGAAGCATTACGATTTGCTGGAGCAATGTTTACCGCTATACAACAATCTCAGGCGGCACATGAAGCACAAGTCATCTCTCTTGGCCAGCACCTTAACTCCTCCCAGTCTTCCAGTTCCTGAAAACGCTCAGCTTCTCGCTTGGGTTGGTGATGAGATTTTGCCACGTGAGATGGCGAAGGTGCTTGAACCATACATAGATCTCTGCTATGTTGCTGCTTGCTTTGAAACTCTGATGTTTTATCTTCTCTTATTCTTGTTTTAAGGTTTCTGTCTTTGACTCGGTCGTGCAAGGCGGTGACTCTGTATGGGAAGGTCTTAGGATATACAAAGGGAAAGTGTTCAAGCTTGAAGAACATCTAGATCGGTAAGAAGCAAGTAAGATTAAAACCTGAGCAGTTAAGCATTCTTATTAATATGTTGAAAGTATTGGCTTTTAGGTTGTTTGATTCAGCTAAGGCTCTGGCTTTCAACAATGTCCCAACCCGCGAGGAGGTAAAAGAAGCCATCTTCAGAACTCTCATAACCAATGGAATGTTTGACAATACACATATAAGACTGTCTCTAACTCGAGGCAAAAAGGTATTGTTTAGTATTTATACCTTTTACCAATATTTAAGTAATTTACACGCAGGAAGATTCTTATATGTGTAAGCTATGATGAATTTGTTCAGGTCACTTCTGGAATGAGCCCTGCATTTAACCGTTATGGATGTACTTTGATCGGTAAGGTTTCAGATTTGTCTCTTGCAACCATACTACTAAATCTCTGGAATATGGTTTTGGCATATGATATTGTGTTAGTAAGATCGTTTTTTTCCTTCGAAATGATGTAGTCCTGGCCGAGTGGAAGCCTCCTG